TGGAATGAAGAACAGTCATGGCTCCTGCAGATTGCAAGCACTAACACAGGAAGAACTTGGCCAGGCAGCAGAGTGGCGGCAGAGCGTAAGGACGTCTCCAAAGCAATGCTCTCCCTCCAGAACAGAGCCTCCCAATTGTACCGATCAACTCTTCAGGCTTTCTCCTTCCAGTTCTTGCAGCTCTCTACATGGACATCTGTCAGAGCCAGAAAAAGAGAAAATGGGGTGACCATCGGGTGGTAGGAGGTCACATCCAGGAAAACGTCATAGTGCCACGTCCCAATTGGAGGATATTTAAAGGCAAAAAGATAACTAATGGACTTTTTAGGCGCAAAAACAAAGAATAAAAACAAATGTTACTTTATTAAATGCAATTTTCAAATATATGCAAGATATGTTTTAGATGTGATATGTTAATAAAGCAATATTTTATGTGCATAAAAAGTCCATTAGTTATTTTTTTGCCTTAAATATCTGTCAAGGCCAGATAGGGACAACCAAAGGGTTAGATGTTGCTCTGGGGCCACAATTAGCCCTGGTCTGCCTTGTATTCCAGGAAAGATGCACACACTGCAAATGGCACCAAAATTGCAGCAAAGTGAACCAAATAAAAACCTACATTACACGAAACCAAACTGAAGAGAACCATGCCATCAAAATTAAGCAACAAAGCACTTCATGCATTTTAGGAGCAGATTAAAGCCCACATGATGTCACAGTCAGGGCTGTTCCTTCCTCAAATTAGTTACTTTGCTGTATTTATACACCATTTCAGGATTTCATCTTATTTATTAATATATGTAAACAGGAATATTGATCAGAGGTTTTTTTGCAAAGTCAGCAAAATAGAGAAACCCTTAAAATGATCATAAAAAAGCAAAAACTAATTTCTGATGTTTTATGTATAGGCCCCCGGGTTTCTTGGTCTTCTAGATAATCTTTTACTATTGCTGTTTCAGCAACATACGGTCTTCATATAGGACCCATGTGTCAGCAAGTTATATTGTTTACTAAACCCCCTGACTGCCTTCACTGTGTCATTTCAGGACCTGTAAACCTGCCGCATATCCTGGCCAACTTCCTTCCGTCTGACCAATGCATCAAGAAAACATTTCCTTTTTAATACAAATTGATTTCCCCCGTCTCATGTGACCCTGTTATGCAGCTCCATTATCACAGAGATTTCAGCTCTTGGCTCCACTTCCAGAATGTCTGATAAGGAAAACTAATATCGAGCTTGTGGGAAACATCTAGCCAAAGAATGTGTTTTATTGGGGGGGTTTTAAGATGATTTTTTGTTTATATAATATTTCTTTATATATCTTTTAATGTATATTTATTTATTTATGGTTTTGGGTGTTCAGCATAAAGTATAGAAAGACATGTGAAATGCGACATCAATATCCACAATGTAAACCAGATTCTCACGTAAGCTTCAGGCCTTGTGCATGCTGGAGGTTTTTTTTTTTAACTCTCCTAGAAGTGTCCTTCTGGCAGCAGCATTTCGGCAAAAAAAAGCCAGAAGCTTGTAAAGGTGTGTGACACGTTTACCCACATCAAGCGTTTGGGCATTAATTAATTTAATTTCATTTATTCTGGCCATTGAAATGAATTAATGCTCAAACTTTTAAACGTGCCTAGCATTAATGCGCATCAAGCATTTTTTTTTTGCCAAAATGCCGTTGCTCCTGGAAGTACTGGCAGTACTGGCAGTGTTTTTTTTCCTGCCTCTAAACTCTCCTGCCACTAATATGTGCATGGACACATAGGTTAACATGCAGGGGAGTTTAAAAGCAGGGGAAAAAAATGTGAGATGCCCCTAGGAACAGCTGTAAAAATGCCCATTGTGCATGAGACCTTATGTATATGTAAATGCAAAAGTCATTTTAAATATTTTTAAATCTACAGATTTAATTCAAAAATACTTGGGTGATAATTAGTCTCCCAGTTCCTCCCTTGTCACCCTTTCACAGCTGCTTTTGATGGAACTTATAAGTGGCCATTTGAGAAAGCAATACACAAGTATAGTCCACTGTTCACCATCAGGGAACTCATGACTGCTGATGAGCATAGGCCTGAATCCAATGGATATTACCTTAACCTTGCCCCCATCTAAGAAAAACACATGTAGAATAATTTAGTTGGAAAAAAGGGCAAGGTCATAACTTTATTTGAATTCAAACATGGGCCAATTAAAAAAAAAAACATTTTAACCAGTGCCAGTCACAGTTGTACTGTGAGCACATTTTAACATTGGGTTAAAGTCTAAAGGGTCCTGTCCTTACCATAAGTGCTGGACAGACATTAGACCAATTCCAACATTCCAATCAAGGGCATAGCCCATTATGGCAACGTTATCTCTGGCAAGGTCCAAATTCCGCTGAAGAAGCTGTGACACAACAACAATAGGGCAAGCGGGTGGGCAACTCCTCCAAAACACAGTTCTTCAACTGTCAAGATCTTACCTCAGAACAGCATTATAAATGTGTTCAGTCCCCACCCCGTCACCTCAAGTCATCTGACCAATAGACTTCGGCCAATTTACACAGCACGAGCAACCACACCCAATTTCAAGCCATGCCCCCATCAGTCAAGGCTCCCTTTCCCTATGAGGGTCAAGGAACCCTCATTCTGGGAATTGACATGCTGCTATCACTGGAGTACATGAAGAGAGGGAGAGGCTGCCGAGGAACAGCAGCACTGACATCCAACAAGCAAATAAACTAAAAGGTGAAGACAGCATTTTATTAAAAAAAAAAAATTATCACTTGCAGTGGGGCTGTACCTGCACTGTGAGGGTTAATTGTTTGTTTATTCCTAGAGGAATGATACCACCGTTGGATCTGGAGGCCAGTCACTTCACTGGGTATATGTAAGGGTTTACAACCACGTTACATTAGGCTGGGTAAGGAGGAGAATATCTGAAGTTTTTGTTGCCGTCTGTATCCCCATTGAGGAGTTTCCCTCATGTTCTACATGTTCTACCTTAACAAGAAGTAAGAGGTTATCTCCAAGAAGTAAGGGGAAATTTCACCTTTGAAGTTACCGCCAGAACAGATGGCTCCTCTGGTCCTGTAACATTGAGTACCGTAAATTTTTCATACCTTCTGTCCCAGGACCAATGGTTCACTTAAAGCTGAAGTTTATATATGGCAATTTGTAAGAGTTACAGCTTGGTCCAATATAAAAGTGTATGTGGCATACCTGTGGGGTCCCCTGAAAGCTGGAAACCATTGTTGTAGGAACCTCTACAACAGCGATCTTCATTTATTTCTGGGTCCCATACCGAGCGGCTGCCCTGCTGCATAGTGAACACAAGAGTGCCCCTCTCGTCATGGACACCATTCAGAGAACTCTTTGCATGTTATCAATGAATGCAAAGCATTATTTGATTGGACAAGGCAAAGAGGCAAGGTGAGCCACCTCAAAGAGAAATGGATTCAATGAGAAAATGCAAAGTGTTCTCTGAATGGAACCTATGCCAAGGAAGCTACTTCCTGTAATCATTAAAGTAGAACTCCGGCAAAAACTTCTTTACATGTCCTTTTTGCTGATTGCCTACCTTTACTGAATATTTAATTCATCTTCAGGTTCACTCAGTAGTTGCTCTGAAATAGCTTATTCATTTTCAAATCAAACTGGTAATTCTCTTTGGTTTCCTGTTTGTAAGGCCAGTGGCGGCTATGCCTCCTATTCTCCCAGCCACTGGTCTTAGCACATCCCTCCTGTAGTTCTTTCTCCAGGAAGCAGTGATGAAATTCAGCCCCACTTGCAATGCAGGGCGGTCCAAGACAGGCCTAGTGCACCCACCCATATTCACTACAATTCCCTGTGGTTGATGGGAAGTGTAGTTTCCTTTTACGGCAAAGAGAGGAGAGGATATAATGTAATCCCTTCTGTTACACCTCCTGCTTGGCAGAGCTGATGCTATTGTCTTTTGAATTACAGAGATGAGGTCATAAAAATTTGGTCAGACTTTTCTCCTAAATGGTAAGGATTTTCAAAATTGTATTAACTGTTTGATGTTTTGTGTAGGAAGGTGTGCTAATGGGTGATTTTTTTTTTCCTATCCCAGAATTCTTCTTTAAGCAGCAGTGCAGTCACTTGGCCTGTGTCAGCAAAAATCATTGTGTATTAGCTGTGCCTACTACAGTGATTTCCAGCACAACAGGGATCGACCTGGTATGGCACATACATACTAATATTGGTCCAACCTGGAGAAATATAACTATGCAAAATAGTCCATATACCTAATGTAAACCTCAGCTTCACAGTAAACCTGTTCTTCATCCATTTTTGCACATTTGCAGCCCCCATCCCCGGAGCTCCCAATACTTGCCTTAACATGGTAACCTCAATAGTTTTTCTACCCATGAAAGCATGAGCTCATGATCACGGGCGTACCGTATTAGGGAAGTACATCATAAAATTCTAGCTTCTCTCCATTAACCAGGAGCCCAGGTGCTGTGTGCAGCCCCCATACCCAAGAACAGTTGAGCTTGGGTATGCGCTGGTATTTATGTACTTTTGTGTCTGCCCCTAATGCCCCCCCGTATGCATGAGGCCTTATACATTAGCAGTTAATCCTTCTAATTTCTCTATGCCTGCTACAAACCACAGAACTATCAACGGGGGCTGTGATAGACGTATTCAGGGCAGCTCAGAGCAAGTACAGTGGTTGTCTAATATATAATTTATCTTATATTTCTTTTCAGCCTCTCAGAATAGTATACTGTGCGTACATTATAAAGAGGTACTTAGGGCCATATTTAATGAAAAGGCCTTATTCCTAAATAATTCTACCCATAGTGATCAATCAGAATTCAGCATGTATTGTTCTAAACTTGGTAGCGCCAGTTTAGTGTACTTAACCCAAAAAATGGAAATGGGATATACCAGGGGCGGACTGACAACTCATGGGGCCCCGGGCAATAAGGGATCATGGGGCCCCCTGTGTCCTCACCCACACTCAAACCACACCCAAAAAAGCCTATGAAAAGGTACCAGGGACATCTCATGGGGCCCCTACTGACCCCAGGCCCTCGGACAGTGCCCAAGAGCCCGAATGGTCAGTCTACCCCTAGAGTATACTATAGCTTACCAATCCTTAGATGTGGGGGCAGCATTAGTTTTCTTTTTTAAGCTTTTTCCCTTAAATATTTCCTGGTAATCCTGTGTATATCACACTTCCTTTCATGGATAAACGTATTTATAAATTGTATCCAGGGCTTTCTTTTTCAGTGAGAACGCAGTTCCAGCACTGAATGTTTGCAATGGCAAGGGGTGCTGGGGTATGTAGGAGGATCTATTGTTGCTGGCTGCTGGGGAATCCATTGTCACTGAAGGGGATCTATTTTGTGTGGTGGTCTATTGTTGCTCGTGGGGGATCTATTGTTGATGGGGTCAATTGTTGCTGGAAGGAATCTACTGTTGAGGGAGTGGTATATTGTCAATTGTTGCTGGCTGCTGGATAGTTTATTGATGCTGGCTACTGGGAGATCTGTTGTAGCTGCTGGTGGCTTATTGTTGCTTGGGTAGTATTTTGTTTTGGGGGTCCATTTTTTCTGGATCAATCTATAGTTGCTGGAGAGTATCTATTATTGCTGGCTGTGGGGGATCCATTTTTCTGCTTTTGTTATCATTAACAAATTCCAAAGAAATTATTTAGTGCCACAAAATGATACTTGGCTCTGTATTCTCTAAAAGGAGAGGCACTGGGAGGGGAGTAGGGGGAGGAGACAAGAAGTGGCTCAGAAGGGGGAGTTCCTGCACCTATTTTTGAAGAAAAAAGCCCTGATTGTGTGTATGGGGGGAGCCATGGTTGTCACACAGGCTGGGCTCCAGACATGCCTGCCTTTGTTCATCTCCTTTACTTGGTTGATTGATAAGACTAGTATTTTACACAATAAAGATAATGTGTGTGATTTATTTTCAGCTCACAGAAAGGGACAAGGGCATGACATTTCCTGGCAAGATTAACAAATAATTTCTGAACTTGCTGAAAATGTTCTTAGCCTGAAAAGAACAAAACTAATGCAACCACCATATCTAAGGCGTTGGAAGCTGCAATATTTTACGTTTTTGAGTTTAGACACGCTTTAGGAATTAAAGCCACATTTCAGCCCTGTAGAAGAGCCAGGCCAGCAGTAGTGATGGCCTGAACAGCCCCCTTTTCGGTTCACAGTAGAACACTCAAACCTAAAGAAAGTTCTACCACGAACATCGAACATAATGCAAGTCTATGGGACTCGAAATTGTAAATTAAAAAGTGCCCATTTTGAAGGCTTATATGCAATGTATTGGCCATAAATAGGTTATTGGGACTCGAGTACTGCCCTGAGGGACATGAATCAGTGAAAAAAAAGCATTAAAAAAAAAGTACCATTTTTAAGTTCAAAGTTTCACATCTATACAATGTATAGAACCTGACTGACATTTAAAAAAAAAAAAAAAAAAAAAAGTATGGGGTTCCCCTCCTAATCTATACCAGAACCTTTAGTTCTGGTAGAAAGATTCGGAGGGACCCCACAGTCCAAAAAAAAAAAAAAAAAAGTTTAAAAGTGAGTGGGGTTCCCCCTAAAAGTTATACCAGACCCTTTAGGCCTGGTAGAACTTTTAAGGGGAACACCACCCCCCAAAATTCTTGTGGGGGTCCCCCTAAATTTCTACCAGACCCTTGATCTAAGAACAGGCTTGGCAGACTAGGAAAATGGGGGGGGGGGGCAAAACTAGTGCGCCCCCCTTCCCTGGGTCTTACCAGGCCACATGCCCTCAGCATTGGGATGGTGTCCCCATGCCGATGAGGGGGCCTCTTCCCCCCCAACCCTGGCCCAGTGGTTGTGGGGGTCTGCTAGCAGCAGGGGCTCATTAGCATCAGGGTACCCCTTTAAATAAGGGGGCACCCTGATGCTGACCCCCCCCCCCCATTCTTTTTAAAGAGTAAGGGATACTTGTACCTCTACCCATTCACTAAAGGGTTAAAAGTGTGAAAAAAATAGAGACCAGACTTTTGAAAAAATCCTTTATTGAACAAGAAATTAAAAATTAAAAAAAAAAGGTTCTAGCGTTGTAATCCATTGTTAATCATGGTGCCCAGCATTGTCACAACGTCGTCGACTCCCTGATATAGAAAAAAAAAAGCCACCCGCTGAGTACTTGCCACTATCTGACATTTGCGTGTCAGATGTAAACAATTGGGCAGAGCTAGCTGTGATGTCACCACTAGCTCCGGCCAATTGTGTATGTCTGACTGGCAACTGTTATCCACAATTGGGCGGAGCTAACGGTGATATCACTGCTAACTCTGCCCAATTATTAATGACAGTTCTGACAGTTGCCGGTCAGGTGTACAATTGGGCGGAGATAGCGGACTTAGCCCCTCAGCCATGATTGACCTAAGTCTCCAAGAGTTTGACCAATCATGGCTCTTCCTGTGAACTCCTCTGTGATTGGCTAAAGCATTGCACCTGACCTGTGGTCAGGTGCAATGTTTTGTCCAATTACAATGCGCCACCAGAGTGCATTGCATTGTGGGGTGAACGGCCTGATGAACGTACCAGATGTTCATGTGTTCAGTGAACACACGAACATCCAATTTTTGACGCGAACATATAGGCCATCCCTAGCCAGCAAGATATAAACATTGTGGACCTCAGCTGCAGAAGTATGAGGGGAGCGTGGGAAGTTATTTACCCTTTCAGAAATTCTACTAAATTAGATTAACAAGGTGTCATTTTCTGAATGAAATCAGTCAGCAGGCATTGAGACTATGAGACGGGGATGTGCGGTAGAAACATAAAAAGGAGATTCTATATTTTTAGTTTCTATGACAACTGAAGATTTTCTTTATGCACTTAGTTCATTGGTTTGGGATACTGTCATAAGGACATTTCAGACTATTAAAGCAGATCTAAGCTCTCTCAATCAACATCAACTATATTTAATCCTTATGCTGCGAGTATTAGTAAATACATAGGAAGGTATATTATATTTCCCTGTTTTAAACTTAAATTTTTTACATTTCCTCAGTTTCTTCCTGATTTCTAGCCTAGGCTAAAAATGATGTCATATCCCAGGAGTCTTCATGGGCATTTTCTTTTTCATCCAGAGAAGAAGAGGTGAGGCTTTCTCAGCTAATCACATGCTCCTGCATGCATGCCTGAGCTAAAGGCAGATGGATTCCAGGGAGTAAATGCTACATGAATAATCTGTCCTTACTCAAAATGGCCGTGGCTAGAAATCCTAAGGGGGTGTTTATCAAAGTGATTTCTCAAAAAATAAAGTATGATGACATGGATAGATGGGTGCTTTGCTTTCAATATTAAAAATTAATGAAATTGCATTTTCAATTAAACAAAGTCTTACTCTCCAAGCAATCAATGAGTAACACATAGTATAAACCGAAATGCTTAGAAGTTTCCTACCTGATACAAAGGCATCTGTTGGGTCAGAGAACTTTATGGGTCTCTCTTTTAAGCAATCATTAACGTGGACAAAGTCCGGAACACAAGATTCAGCTGAAAGAGAAGAAAAAGTCTAAAGGCTTTCAGAAGTGACAGTATCGACTTAAATGACAGCTGCCTAGCTAGCTAGCTGCCGTGGTTGTTTGCCAAGTTCAGTGCAAAGCACGACACTTCACCGTTACGAGATTCTTAAACAGCCCATAGATGGATTGAAATGTGTCTGGTTTAGCAGAGGTTGACCAAATTTCAATCCATCTATGGCCATTCCCACTCTAATGATCAACCTCTGTCAAACAGGACTGTTGGAAAACTTTGGTCGATCAGTGACTGCAGCTGCTGATCAGTGTATCCTACTGTCAGAATAAAATGGTGCAGTCAGGAGGATTCCCCCATCCAATTCAATTGTGTGCATTGGGGAACCTGTTTGCTTTTTTTTCCCCAATGCTGCAGAAATGTTTCTGTACCCTTCCCCAGATTTGTGACTTAATACAATCCTGTCTCGGAAGTCTATGGACAATTCCTTGGACTTCACGGCTTGGTTTGTACTCTGTCATGCACTGTTAACTGTGGGACCTTATATAGACAGGTTTATGCCTTTCCTAAACATGTTCAAACAACTGAATTTCCCACAGGTGGACACTAATCAAGTTGTGGAAACATCTCAAGGGGTGATCAGTGGGAACAGGATGCACCAGAGCTCAATTTTGAGTGTCATGTCAAAGGCTGTGAATACTTATGTGAAAAAAGAAAAGATAATCAGCGCAAACACTACCACCAGTTGACCAAACTGATTGTAAAAAGTCCATAAAGTCCAATAGATTCAAATATGAAGGTCCATGGGGCACTTTAGGCAAGCTTCATAAAGTATTGTAGCGGAACTCTGTGTGATGAGAAAGAAAAAGAAGCGTCTCTAAGTGAAGCAGAACCACTTTAATAAATATCAAATGTAGGAACACTCACATGTAACAGTAGTAAAACAGGCATGTATCGGGGTAAATATCTAAGGGAGTTGAGGAACGGCTGTGTTCCAGTATCGGACATCCGTGTCTTGGCCCAGGAGTAACCTGTTGACAGGAGGAAGAAACCATCTTAGTGAGGTTACACATGCCGGCCAGCTTCTTCCTCCTGTCACCACATTGCTCCTGGGCGTAGACGCGGATGTCCTATACTGGAACACAGCCGTTCCTCAACACTCTTGGATATTTACCCAATACATGCCTGTTTTACTACTGTTACATGTGAGTGTTCCTACATTTGATATTTATTAAAGTGGTTTTGCTGCACTTAGAGGCGCTTCTTTTTCTTTCTGTGAATACTTATGTACATGTGGCGGTTTTTTTTTTTTTTTCGTTTTTTATTTTTAATAAAATGCAAAGATTTCAAAATGAACTTCTTTCACGTTGTCATTATGGGGTATTGTTTGTAGAATGTTGAAGGAAAAAATTAATTTAATCCATTTTGGAATACGGCTGTAACATAACAAAATGTGGCAATAGGTAAGCGCTGGGAATACTTTCTGGATGTACTGTATGCCATGGACAAACATTTTGAGTTTTCATAAGCTAAATTTAGATAAGGAACATTATTTCTTCTGATGAACAGAGTAAGGAAGAGTTTTTACCTCTGTCTGTGACCCCATTGGTTAGATTGCTCTCATTTCCTGTCCCCATGAGGACCATTCAAGGCATAAAGAGAGTGCTTGTCACCAGCGAGGTAATCTGCTATTCTTCTGTTTTTTCTTA